GAGAAAGCAAGCCACCAGGTCCAGGACTCAAACCATGGTCGGCCATGTGGGAGTGTCCAGCGCCTTAACCACCATGCCACCTGCTGGTCCCAAGTACTATACTATCTCTTAAAACCTTTTTTTAAAATTCTAAATTCCAAAACACACCGACTCTAAGGATCTTTGTATAGGATTACGGACATGCAGTAGCAAAGATAGAAGAGGGAGCAACATGAAAGCACAAGCAGAAAAGGTGATGGGCCTTAACATAGGAAGATTAAGGGGTAAGGACAATGTAAAGAAATGGCCTAGCCAAAAATTAGCAGGAAAAATCCTAATTTTACCCTCAAAATACCCTGGACCTACACACTAGCATTCAATAAATGAAAATGATATAGGAATTCACATAAGAAAAAGTAATGTACATACTTAGTAAAGAAAATTTTAACAGAATTTAACAAATCAAGACTCCTCAACAAGTCCATGTCCCTAACAATGTTCCATATTTTAATTAACAAAAAATCAGTAGCCCCTATTCACATGTAGCAAAGATGTAACAAGCAAATGCTAGGAAACAAATTACTATATAAAAGAGAAAAGTAAGAAAATATGTAAAGATTCAACAAAAATTCAAGTGCCTTACTTTTCTAATTCTTCAGGATCAAATTTCCACCATGTTTCAGGTTCATGAAACTCTACTCTGTATCCTTTTCCTATGGCCTATACAAAGGAAAGGAAAAAAAAAACAAAAACCCAGAGAATACTTCTTAAAGTAAAAAGAAAATAGATGGATAAAAAATTCTTTCAGACAATACTTCTAAGTACTTCTAAGTTTGCTCAACTAAAAAAAAAAATACTTCACAAAACAGTAATGCTTGTAAAAATTTTAAGAATATTTAACTAGAATACAATTACCATTCTCAAGTCCACACAAAATTAGTATCTTTAACTAGATTCCAATTACCATTCTCAAGTCCACACAAAATTAACAAAATATATTTTCATAAGCACCATTTCCAGTTTTTTAAAAACTAATAAGCAAATGAACAAATCTCTTTAGAAAACAAGCACAATTATTAGCAAAGATCACAGTTACCAAAATTTTAGCATATTGAATTAAAAAAAAATGAAAAGAACAAAAAATGAAAACTCTCTCATATTTCATATTTACCATTTCCACATATGGTTTCATTTCCCAAGCTTGTGTATTAGTGTTGTCTATTATAACTGGAGATCTCCCCTGATTGATAGCTTGTTTGGCTGAAACAAAATTAAGATTAAAGAACAAAAACATATTAGATTAAAATACACAAAAAATAAAACTTAAGTATTCACTATTAAAAACATAACATCTCTGTATTTAAAACCAAACTGTACAATCTTAAGTCAGTACCCTGAAAGAAAAGGGGAAAAAAAAAAAAAAAAAAAAAGAATAAAAGGACTCCAGTAGATTAAAGTGAATTTAGATACATAACCTCTTACCAGATGTATACTCTAAACTAGATGCTAGTTTTGACAAACTGGCCATAGAGACATTTTGGGGGAATTTGGTTGAACTTACAGCAAATGAAGCTTTCATTCTAGAGCTAATTTACATTTATGAAAAATATAGGAGAGGGGAACCAGCAGTTAGCATAATGGCTATGTAGCTGGACTCCCACGTAGTCGACCGCGGTTCACGTCCCGGACCCGGTGGCTTAAAACTCACGCCGGGTGCGTGTGCATGCGTGCCCAAGATCCCGAGAGGAGAATGGAGAGGGGATTGCGGCGTGACCATCCCCCCTGGGGGGTGATTTCTCGCTTTCTGTCTGGCGAGCGCACGCGCCCTATAGTGAAAATCTCTCAAAAAAAAAAAATATATATAGGAGATAAAAGAACAAGATAGATCTGAATATGAACTGAGAATGAGAAAAGGTAAAAACTTATTGCCATGAAAAGATGGAGATTGTTAAATGAAAACAGCAAGTTACAAGATGACAATTAAGTATGATCTTATTTAGGTCAAAATATGGAGCTGGGAGGACCAGCAGCTGGCATAATGGTTACATCACTGGACTTCCACATGGCCAATCATGGTTTGAGTCCCAGACATGGAGGATGGAAACTCATACCAGGTGCATGTCCAAGATCACAAGAGCAGAATGGAAGAAAAGGGATCATGAGGTGGCTATATCCCCAGAGGGTGATTTCTCACTTTCTGTCTTTCCACCAAGCACACATGCTCTACAGCAAAAATCTCTCTTTAAAAAGAGAGAGAGAGAGCTGGGGATATTTACTAAAAGTGTTCATCTGTAGGCGGTGGGAATATTTGCATTTACATTCTTCTGTATTTTCTAATTTTCTACAACGACCATAAATTATGCTTCTGAAATCAGAAAGGCTTATATAAAAAATTTAAAAGTTAATGGATTTATCAGGACCAGCAGCTGGTGTAATGGCTATGTTGTTGGACTCCCATGTAATCGACCATGGTTCGAGTCCTGGACCCAGTGGCTTAAACTCATGCCGGGCGCAGCTTAAACTCATGCCGGGCGCACGTGTGTGCGTGTGCATGCCCAAGATCCTGAGAGGAGAATGGAGAAGAAGAGATTGCAGTGCGGCAATCCCCCCTGGGGGGTGATTTTTTGCTTCCTGTCTCTGTCTTTCTGGCAAGCACATGCACCCTATAGCAAAAACCTCAAAAAAAAAAAAAAGTTAATAGATTTATCATTATTATAATATAAAGCAAAACTTTATATACCAAGTAGCTAAATATTACTATTCAACTGACTATGGATAATTGTCAAGACTATGATTCTCAAAGTGGGAACTGAGGTAAAATGGAACTTTTCTAAACTACATCTCCCTATCCCAGTGCCATCTCTTCCCCATAAGAATCACTGTCACAATGAGCCACGGTTAATGATGGCAATGTTTATCATTAAGTGTACCAGACATGAAAAATAATCAAGAATCCCTGAAAAAATTTAAAAGGCTGAGGTAAAATGCAAGGGTATGGAAGTCTTCTTGGGATTCAGAATTCAAATCACTGGGGTCAGCAGGTGGCATGGTAGGTAAGGTGCTGGACTCCCACACGAACAACCACAGTTCAAGTGCCAGACCCAGTGGCTTGAAAATCACACTGGGCACATGTGCATGTGCCAAGATCCCAGGAAGAGACTGGAGGAGAAGGGATTGTGGCATGGCCATTCCCCTTGAGGGGGATTTCTCACTTTTCCTCTCACCATCTCTCTTTAGCAAGCGCACATGCCCGATAGCAAAAAACAAAACAATAATAATAATAAAAAAAATACAAAAAGATTTCAAACCAGTTAGTTCAACATAATAGAAACATTTATACAGATATCTAGAAAAGACAGAATTACAAAGGTTAGTTAAGAAGTAATGAGTATGGTGGAATATATATTTGGGAGATGTCTCTAAATACAAAAAGAAACTTGGAATTTGGATCATAAATAGGTGTTATCTACCAATGCTACCAAGCAAGGTACTGACACCAAGTTGCTATTATCTCCCACTGCTTTATCTCCGATCATAAATAGTGATCAAATTTTCCAGTAAAAGACAAACACCAGCACAAAGTAACATGCTGCTCAAGGACTGCCTAGATCTCTCATTGTGACTATGGGTTGAAGGTCCTGCCCAGTCTGCCTTAAACACACAGGGCATGTGCAAGTGCCCAAGTTCCAAAGAGCTGAAGGACTGAAACAAGGAGACAACAGGGAGGCCACAATCCTACAAAGGATGCTCATCTTCCTTTCTCTCTCCCTATCACATGTACATGAATAAATGAAAGAAAAAAAGTCCCACACAAAAATTTTCTCAGTCCATCAACGGTATACTCGCTCTGCCCATTGTCTTCATTTATTCCATTTACCACATAATCTTGTTCGCCTTTAACTTCAGGCCAGTAACTCCAAACACTTTTGGAATTGCAATACCATCATTATTTATTTGGGCAGTAATGTTCTATTTCATTAAAAAAATGAAAACTATTTTTTTTAAATAATCACTATTTTTTCAATTTTATTTACTTATTCATTCATTTATTTAAACTTTGACCAGAGAGAGAAAGTGAGAAAGCAAGTCACCAAGTCCGGCTCGAACCATGGTCAGCCATATAGGAGAGTCTAGCGCCTTAACCACCATGCCACCTGCTGGCCCCTGAAAATTAAATATTCTTGAGATCTTTATGCCACCCCTCTAATATATGTGGAGAAATCATAGTGTCGTAAAACTATAATAAGACTCTTACAATCATATTTATTTGACACTGAAACATTCCTGTGAAACCATGGACTGTAACAAAATGAAAACTTTGTACTCAAAAATATCCTCACTGAAATTTCTTACTCTAAAAATTGACAATCAGGAGGCTGGCAGGTAGTGTAGTAGTTAAGGGCACTTAACTCCCACATGGCTGATCACAGTACAAGTCTTGGACTTAGCAGCTTGTTTTCTTGCTTTCTCTCTCTTTTCCCCTCTCTCTCTGGCCAAATTGGAAAATAACAATAATAATAAATAAAGCTAAATGAAAAATATTAATTGACAATTAGAAAGAAAAGCATTTATACTGTTCTTCCTGTATATATTGTAATTTAGGGCAACCCTAGTTTGTACCTTGGTACTTTTAGTCTGAGGGGAAGTTCTTTATTACAGAAGAATTCTAGCTACTACACATGGATGGAATAATAGACTTAAAACAAAAAGAAAAACTCCACTTTGTAACTCTTAAAAACTGATTCAGGAAACAATCCACTATTAAAAAAAAAAAAAACAGATAAAAGATTGATAGGAAACTTGATCATGGAAGAAGGAGGTTATCCTTCTGAAGCTACAGATCAATCTTATCAGGCCAAGAGTGGAGCAATCAAACATCAACTTGTCCCCCTCAAAAAAGAAAAAAATAGGTTGAACCTAATCAAGCTTCCATCTAGAAATAACAACCCTTTATAGAAAACACAGAAGAGGAACAAGTTAAATAGTTACCATCAAGAAGTAAACAGACAACTATAAAATATTGAACATGGATAAATGATCTATCTATGATAGTTCCTGTAAAAACTTATGATATGAGAGGGACCAGCAGTTAGCGTAATGGCTATGGCGCTGGACTCCCACGTAGTCGACCGCGGTTCGCGTCCCAGACCCGGTGGCTTAAAACTCATGCCAGGCGCGTGTGTGTGCATGCCCAAGATCCTGAGAGGAGAATGGAGGAGAAGGGATTGTGGCGTGGCCATCCCCCTTGGGGGGTGATTTCTCGCTTTCTGTCTCTGTCTCTCTCTGTCTGTCTGGCGAGCGCACGCGCCCTGTAGCGAAAACCTCTCTCTAAAAAAAAAAAAAAACAAACAAACAAACTTATGATATGAGAGAAAAGAGTAGATACTGCTATGAATTAACATAGTTAAAAAAGACATAAAACTAAATGTATTTGAAGGGATTGTTTGGATTCGAACAAAGCAATTATGAAAAGGTATCTAAGACGTAGAGGAATTTCAATTATAGACTAGGTTACTTGATGCACAGGAACAGTGCATCACACAGCTTTTAAATGTGTAATAGCACTGCAGTTTAAAAAAAACGTGATTAAGAAGGTTAATTTGATGGGCCAGCCAGGTGGAGTGGTGATTAAGGTGGCTGGATCCCCATATGGCTAACAAGTTTGAGTCCTGAACCTAGCAACTTGAAAAACACACTGCCCTGCCCAAAATCCCAAGAGAAGAATAGAGAAGGAATTATAGCATGTATCCTTTCCTAGGGGGTGCTTTCTCATGAACAACCCCCTCCTTTCCCATCTTTCTCAACCAAGCACACGTACCCTATCACAAACTTGCGGGGGTGTGGGGTTAATTAGAAATTTCTAAAGCGTAATGTTTTTAAGTTCTTTTAAAATACTTCAACAGGGGCCAGCAGGTAGCATAGTGGTTAAGAGCGCTGGATTCCCACATGGATGACTGTGGTTTGAGTCCAGGACCTGGCAGCTTGCTTTCTCACTTTCCATCTCACTCTCTCACTCTGTCCCTCTCTGGTCAAATTAAATACATACATACATACATACATACATACATAAAGTTAGATACAATAATTCTTTAAAAAATTTTTTTTCAGCAAATTAAAAGGTGGGGTGTTAAAAACATAAAGCATAGATAAAGCTCCTACATGAAAATCTTTAACCAGGGCCAGGTGGCAGCATAGTGGTTAAGGTGCTGGACTCCCACATGGCCGGACAGTTCTAATCCTGGACCTCATGGCTTGAAAATCATGCTGGTGCATGTACATGCATGAGTGTGTGCCTAAAATCCTAGAAGGAGAATGGAGGAGAAGGAATTATGATGTCGTCACACACCTCTTTCGGGATGGTTACTCACTCTTCCTCTCACTATCTACCTCTGGAGAGTGGCATGTGCCCTATGGTAAAAACCTTAAAAAAAAAAAAAAACTTGATAACCATAACCTTGGATGATAAATGTATGAGATTCATTATACTCTCTCTAATCTAGATTTATAATTTTTCATAATTAAAGCCACTTATTTAATCATCAATGTATTCACCTTTTAAAAAATAACTTACATTATAATCATTTACTTAGATAATTCTAGATCAATAGTTTTCAGTTCTGATTGCACATTACAATCATCTGGGGAACTTTAAAGAGAAAAAAAAAAAAAAAAAACCAATGAAGCAGTGCTTAGGTCCCATTCCAGATCAATTCTAGATCAAACTAGAATCTCTGAGTCTGAAGCCCAGGCATATGTTTTTTTTTAAAGGCCCCCAAGTGATTCAAATGTGTTGCCAGGGCTCAGAATCACTGTTTGTGATCAAAATAAATTGGTCCATGTCCTCTATAAAATGTATTAAAGCCTTAGTTAGACATTAGCATTATTCCAAGGGAAATAACTTTTGGGAATACATAACAATAATATCAGAATTCTCTGAGTTTATTTATGTGGTACAAAATAAAGTCTAGTAAAACATCCCATATTTCTACTTCACTAGCTTATACTAGTACACTAGTTACCATTTACAAAATGTTTTTACTAAATTCTCATATCTGCACAACAATCTTTTTTTTTTTTTTTTGGAGAGGTTTTTGATATAGGGCGCGTGCACTCGTCAGAAAGAAAGAGACATAGAGACAGAAAGCAAGAAATCCCCCAGGGGGGATGGTCACGCCACAATCCCTTCTCCTCCATTCTCCTCTTGGGATCTAGGGCACGCACGCACACACGCCTGGCGTGAGTTTTAAGCCACCGGGTCCGGGACACGAACCACGGTCGACTACGTGGGAGTCCAGCGACATAGCCATTACGCTAACTGCTGGTTCCCTGCACAACAATCTTGATCAGGCAAGGCAAGTATAATTATCACTACCTCTAATAGACATTGGGTCTTAAAGATATTTGAGTGACTTGCTAAAGTCATTCAGCTGATAAAAAGTCTGTGTTGAGAATAAAACTTATGTCTTCTAACTCCTACTCAAATATTCTACCACAGGAGAGTTGGCCCAAAACAAACCTCTGTTCTGGTTCCAGTCATGAGCATCACCAAGTTGATTAACATTATACCTGTACCCATCTTGATGGCGAAAATAGTCATCAGTGCTGAACACAATGCCATCACGACTCTGACCAAGCAGAATTCTGTTGACAAAAGAAATGATAAAGGTCCATTTATAAAATCTACAACCATCAGAAATAAATCACAGGAAAGGTTAGTAAATTAATTTCTGGTACTTACCTGTAAGCATACTACAAACAATAACAAAAGAGCTAAACAACCTTAAAAAGCTTTCAAATTTCAAGAATTACTTAAAACTTAATTACAGTTAGTATAAAAAACTTTCACAGGCAGCAGTTGTATTTGCAACTTTTCAAAACACTCTTCAACAAACTTTAAAATTGTATAGACAATTATGCACACTTTAACTTAAGTATATTTGTATTTGGTATCTAAAATTACTTCAATTTACAATAAGTAACCTAAAAAGCAAGTAACCCTAAGCAATTTAGGAAAAAACACACTAGACCCAAGATAGCTTTAATAAACTCATTTCCACTGAAGCACGAACATGTATAGACGTTCAAGTGAGTCAAAATAGCTTGAGGCTTCCAGCTATGAAAGAAGTTGTGATCTTCCAAAATTCAATCAAACTTTAAGTTTTGAAAAAGAAATTAAATCACTAACTGAAATAATTAAATGAAAAACTCTCAAATCAAGTCAGTGGTCAATAATCAAGCTGTTTTAAAAGTATGATGTCACCTTAAATTTTCAAGCAGTATGATTAACAAGTATTCAGAGTGTTTGAGAATTCTCATAACTCAGTAACTCATGAAAAAGATTGGGGACATGCTGAGAAAGGGGTAATGCAATAAAATAATGATTGGGAGTCAATAACAACAAAAAGTATTTTGTTTCTCTCCTCTCCCTCAATCATTAGGTAATTAGATAACATTCTGTAATTTTGGGGGGTGGTAGATGAAAGGTAAAAGAAAGGATTGACAGTAAAAGAACATTGTCCTGAATGATTCAAGAATACTTCCTATTAAAAAGCAGGATTATGGGGACCAGCAGTTAGCGTAATGGCTATGTCGCTGGACTCCCATGTAGCTGACCACGGTTCACGCCCCGGACCCAGTGGCTTAAAACTCACGCTGGGCGTGTGTGCGTGCATGCCCAAGATCCCGAGAGGAGAATGGAGGAGAAGGGATTGCAGCGTGGCCATCCCCCCAGGGGGTGATTTCTCGCTTTCTGTCTCTCTAGCGAGCACACGCACCCTATAGTAAAAACCTCTCCAAAAAAAAAAAAAAAAAAGTTAAAAAGCAGGATTATATCTATAAAGATGACAAACATGGACCAGTCAGCCGGTGGCTTGGGTGATTCCACACGGCGATTTAGCCAAGTCCTGGACCTGGTATTTCCCAGGCACATGTACATGAGTGCCCCAAATCACAAAAGGTAAGGATTGAGGCATGACCATCCCTATAGGAGGTGCTTTCTCATTTTCCCTGTCTCCCTCCGGCCAGCAAGTACACATACCCTCTGGCAAATTAACAAAGAAAAAGTTGGGGGGGAGGGGAAAGAAAGACGACAAGCATGTTATCTTTCCTTCCTTCAGCATCCCTCAGTAAAATTATATGTTTTTTTGAATAAAATTTCATGCATCAAGACAATTTTTAAATGTGTATTTCCACTTAGAGATTATAGTTCAAGTTACTTCAAGTAAGTCAAACGAAAATTAATAGTTTGGGTTGTTTACTTCTTTGGGGTACTGAAGTTATTCTTCTTAAGCAGCCTTGATTTTTCAAAATACATCCATAGAGCACATATGGCATTTTATTTGCTTATAGAGATAATCTAGAATACAGAAATGTCATGATATTGCAAGTTATACTAAAGCTTCAATAACCAAAAAAAGATATTTTAATCATAATCAATAACATGACATTAAATTATACTCAAAAGTGTCAGACATTCAGATATCATCTTTGTGAATGGAAGGTCTTCAGTCTCCGGCCAACAAGGAACTGAGGACCTCAATGCAATATATTGGATTGTTGGAAAAGTCATGACGTACTTTTCTGTTTTTCTATGCAAAAAATGTGGCATGACTTTTTAGGCGACCCAATAGTTCACAAGAAACTAAGTCCTATTAAGAACTTTGTGAGAGCTTTCAGAAAGCAAGACTCTCCTCAAATCAAGGCTTCAGACCAAAACACCGCCCTAATCAATACCTTGATCAGAGCATTATTAGAGCCCTTAAACCAGAGGTACCCATCTAACCATACTCAAGATTCCTGATCTACAGAAAATGTGAAACTAAATCTTTGAGTAATCTGATACATGGCCATGAATAACTGATGTGATCTGTAACTTCCTACTTAGTAAGGAATAGGTGAACCTTGTTCCCAGAAAAGGTCTACAAAAGAGTTCATTTTCATAGTTTATTTTTAAAATTCCTAAGAACTACATGTGTTTTTGGGTTTTTTTTAGTTTATTACTCTTATGAGAGAGGTCATGCACATGAATAAGGGTGGAGGTGTGCCCATGACAGGGTCTTGTCATATTGCAATCCCCTTCTCCCAGTCCTCTAGCCAGCTAGGATCTTCTTGTACACGTGTCGAGGTACATTTCAAGTCCAAACCCATGAGACTTCTGGCACTGGAGAGTAGCAGCTATCACCTGTGCCTCTGAGATTGGGCTAATTTTCTTTAATATACCACATGCAAATAAAAGTGGGTTCCCCCCCCAAAAAAATTATATAAAACTGACACTTCTCATGAACTCTTACCTACGTCTTTACTGAGTGCACTAATACACCACGTATATTTAAAAACAGAAATGAATTAAAAGACAAAAACAAAAAAACCTGAACAGACACTTCTCTTTAATCCTTTACCTACTTATTTACTAGTTCTTTTTCTATACTACCAAGATTGAAACACCTTTTCTGGAGCACTTTCTGGAGCACTTCACTCTCTAAACACTCCTTGAATTACAAACAAAGAGACCTACTGAAATCTCCTCTAAAAGGGAGAGCAAAAAAAAAAAAAAAAATCTCCATCTCTCTTTACATTGGTTTGTACAGCTGCTATCAATTATTGCACACTTGGTGACTTAAAACAGCATGAACTTATGTTGTTATAGTTCTGAAGGTCCATAGTCCAAAATGAGAGTCACGAGGCTAAAAACAAGATGTAGGATACTTTTATTCCTTCTACTAAATCTGTTTCCTTGCCTTTTCCAGCTTTTTTTCTCTTCTCACTAACGGGCACATGAGCTTGCCAAGAGTGACAGAAAAGAAGTGAAAACATTCCCCACCCCTTAAGGGAAATGGTCACACTGCAATCCCTTCTCCCCCATCTCTCCTTCCTGGATTTTGGATTTTAGGGACCCACGCACAGTGTCCAGTGTTTTTTAAGCCACCGGGCTGGGAATTGAACAGCACAGTCAGCTATGTGGTATCTTGCTGCATTCCTTATTCACCAGGCTACATCTTTTTCAGCTTTTAAACATTAGCTTCATACCCTGATGGCTCTTCTGCCATCTTCAAAGCCAGCCCTGTAGCATCTCCACTCCTCTCTGACGTTGGCTTGTCCTTACATCTTTTTCTGACTGATCCTCCTATCTTCTGCTTACTAAAACATTGGGCCCACCCAGAAAATACAGGATAATCTCCATCTCAATAATTTTTAATTAATCACATGTGCACAATACCTTTCAGCACATAAATATGCCCAGGTTTTAGGAATTAGGGCATGGACATCAGTAGGGGGCTCATTATTCATTATTTAAGTATCAACAATAGTTTTTATTGTTTGTTTGTTTGACAGGTTGTTATAGGGCACGTGCACTTGCCAGAAAGGCAGAGAGAGAGAGAGAGAGAGAAAGAAATCAGCCCCCCCCCCCCCAGAAAGATGGCCATGCCACAATCCCTTCTCCTCCATTCTCCTCTCAGGATCTTAGGCACACACGCACACATGCCCGGCGTGAGTTTAAGCCACTGGGTCTGGGACTTGAACTGTGGTCGACTACGTGGGAGTCCAGCAACATAGCCATTACACCAACTGCTGGTCCCATCAACAATAGTTTTTAAAAGTAGACAATAAACTATGTTCTCAAGTTCTCTCACTTCTGTTTTTTCTTTTTGAAAGAATTATTTTATTTTACTTTACTTATTTGTTTGATTTTGACCAGAGAGGGACAGAGTAAAAGAGAATGAGAATGAGGAGAGAGAGAGACATTAAGTGAAGAAAGTAAGCCACCAGGTCCAGGACTGAAAATGAGGTCAGCCATGTGGGAGTCCAGCACCCTTAAACCACCACGCCACCTGCCAGCCCCATGTTCTCTTACTTCTGACACCTTGGATATAAGATCTCAAGTTTGCCTACCACCTTAAATTATAAAAAAAACAAAAACAACTATATTTCCTTTTGGATTACTTTTAGTTTTAATTATTCATACATCTAGAAGTTATTTGTGAGTAATGTAAAGTAGAACTTTAAACATTTTCTTCCAGACTGATCATCTAATATCCTATTACCATTTACTGAACCTTTTTTTCTTACTGAATGCGATTTCCATGGAAATGCCATTTCATCATATACTAAATTCTTTTACATGTAGGTTTCTGGATCCTCAAATATAGTTTGCTCTCTGCCAATTATCACAAAGTTTTAATTATATTAGTTTTCTTTTTTTTTTTGAGAGAGATTTTTTTCTATAGGGTAGGTGAGCTTGCCAGAGATACAGAGAGAGACAGAGAGACAGAGAGTATAAAATCCCCCCCCCCCCCAGGGAGGGTGGCCACACTGCATTTCTTCTCCTCCATTCTCCTCTCAGGATTTTGGGCACATGTACAAATGTGTTCGGTGTGAGTTTTAGCCACCAGGTTCAGGACTCAAACCACGGTCGACTATGTGGGAGTCCAGCAATGTAAGCATTATGCTATCCACTGGTCCCTTAATTATAACATTTTTAAAATATATTTTCAGGGCCAGGAGGTAGCATGGTGGTTAAGGTCCTGGACTCCCACACAACTTGCTTTCCCCCCCTTATCCCTAGTGAGTTCATATGCCCTATAGCAAATTATACAACAACAACAACAATAATAGAATGAATAATTCTTAAAAAAACACACACA